ATATTTTGTTTACCAATAAAAGTTACGAAAATGCTGTAAATTACACCATTTAAATAAAATTCGTTATAAAGTTATCAAATTATAATTATTTATTATCCTGCAAGGAGAATAATGTCTATTTTTAAGTAAATCCACCACGTGACGCCGTCGCTACTTTTAGATTGATAAACAAACATGGCGTCAAGATAACGAGGTAAGCCCTTTGAGATACAACTCACTTTTGACATGGATGGCGTGTTACTATTAATATAACTTATCTTTAAATGTAATCAGTATCAAAAATCTATACTCTGTTATGACGCATATTAACCTTTTATTAATAATCGTTGTCAAAATGCAACGTGCCTCGTTGTCTATAATTTCCCGTAAACATACGTGTCTATATTTAGACCTACTGTTTACGCACTTCCTTTATCAATATTCATGAAAAGACTGAATTCTTGATTGCAGATATTGCATTATTGTTCAGTTATTACAACGAGTTTTATAGTTAAATTTTGTGGAAATATTATTTTTTCATTACACTTTATGTGTTTCAAATCATTTAATCATTTTGTTTCACATACCAATCGGCATCCATACGGCGTATATTACTTTAAGGTCATAACAAAATTCGTGTCTGAAGCAAATTAAAAGTGAAGAGGGGGGTCCAAACATGAAATCCTATTTCATGGAAGGGGGATCGAACTTCTTTCAGTACCATTTTTTTTCTTTCAAACACTACCACTTACCCTTACTCGACTACACTGCAACATGCCTGCTTAAAAGGGGGGGGGGGTAAATTTACTCCCAAATGTTTATTACCTATATGATGTCTTTGAACACGCCCCCTCCCGGTTCCAACTACATGTATGTTTATACGTAAAATAATTCTATAAAAACCAAAACAACAAATATTTTTAGATGCTTTAGATAAAGTCTAGAGAAATATGAATGTATAGAGAGAGAGAGAGTAAAATCGAAAGTAAGCCAACTCAAAACATTTGGGCAAATCTCGGATTACTTTTGAACAAATTCTGGTAAGGCAGGCATGGATCAAAGGGGATCTGGACTCCTGGAATATTCAACTTTATTATTACCCCAACCCCCACCCCCCTTGTCCGTCTGTCCATCTGTCTGTCTTTGCAAAAGTGTCCGGTCCATATCTTCCTTAATGAGGAACATTAGAATCTACTACTCCACACAAAGATTGCTCATGACCTTAGGGTGTGTCATGACCTTGACCCAAGGTCATTTGAGGAAGTTGAAAGTCACTGAAAAAAATTTTAATTCGTGTCCGGTCCACATCTTTCTACGGATAAACTTGGCATGTTCTTATTTCACACAAAGATTTCTCATGACCTAAGATTGTTTCATAACCTTGACCCAAGGTCATTTAGGGAAGTTCAAGGTCACTGAAAAAGTTTCATAATTCGTGTCCAGTCCATATCTTTCTTATGGATAAACTTGGTAGGTTCTCATTTCACACAAAGACTGCCCTTGCAATAAGAGTGTGTCATGACCTTGGGCCAAGGACATTTGTGGAAGTTCAAGGTCACTGGAAGAAACATTTCATAATTTGTGTCAGGTCCATATCTTTTTTATGGATTAACTTGGTATGTTCTTATTTCACACAAATATTGCCCATGACCTAATATTGTGTCATGACCTTGAGCCAAGGTCCTTTAGGGAAGTTCAATGTCACTCAAAAAATTTCATAATTCGTGTCCAGTCCAGATCTTTCTTATGGATAAACTTTGTATGTTCGCATTTCACAAAAAGACTGCCCATGATTAAAGGTGTGTCATGACCTTGAACCAAGGTCATTTTGGGAAGTTCAAGGTGATTGAAGAAAAATTTCATAATTCGTGTCCGCTCCATATCTTTCTTATGGATGAACTTGGTAGGTTCTTATTTCACACAAAGATTGCTCATGACCTAAGAGTATGTCATGACCTTGACGCAAAATCATTTGGGGAAGTTCAAAGCCACTTGAAGAAAAATTTTATTATTTGTGTCTGGTCCATATCTTTTTTATGGCTAAACCTCAATCTACTACTTCACACAAACCTTGCTTATTATCTGATTTTCTGTCATGACTTTGATCCAAGGTCATTAATGCAAGGCCAAGGTCACTGACAGAAAAAGTTCATAATTTGTGTCTGGTTTGTATATTTTGTCTGTATTTTTTATAAGGATGAGCCTTCATTTCATTTATGAAAATATTATGAGAAATTACATTTTCATTTAAAATGTTTTAGCATTTCACTTTTCTCTTAGATCCATTAAATATTCATGATTTAACACCTCTGAAAAACCCAGCAGGGGTATTTAGTCCCGTTTAGACAGTTCTAGTTTAAACTGACATAGTGATTTGAGCCACTACCTCCTAGGGAAATTTTCTAGATGCACCTAACAAAAAAAATCAATCGGGTTCGGACTGACGACCTGAATATAAACGATAATGCTTAATTCATTAAGAAAATCGCTGTCATTTGAGTGTTTTAATGCAGGGAGAACATACTTTTGTGATACATGTATTGGAATGAGGTGGACGCGTTGGCGAGCCGAATACAATTAACCAAGTCAGTTACAGCTAATGAAAGTTTGACCGCAAATTTCATATCCCTAATTTGAGAAAAACGAACGATACTTTATTTTCCTGATTATTTATAAATATGTATTATTATAGGCAGAAATGTAAAACTACTCTTAAACATTATTCTTATACACCTTAGCTAAAGCTTTTTCATACTCGTTAGTCGTATTCTGTCAAAAACAAATAAAAGCCGTTTGTCTGCACTTTGACCATCCGTGATGTAAGGAAAAAAGTGCGAAAGTCTACATTTTCTTGAGAATTTGCAGCATGTCTATTTTCAAACATGTGTTACTATAAATAGAAACAGAAACCTCTGCTTCTCATTCTGTATTTCATATATGCTTTCTTTTTCTTGCTGGTCACTGAATGCCAATAGCAGTAAAAAACATATTGTCTGCAATTGCTCATCCAAAATGTGAGGAAAAAAGTAGAAAAAACTACATTTTCCCGATAATTTACAGTATATCTATTTTTAAACTCATGTTACTATAAATAGAAATGGAAACCTCTGCTTCTCATTCTGTTTTTGATATAATGCTTTCTTTTACTTGTTGGTCACCATGTGCCAATAGCAGTTAAAAACAGATAGTCAGCAATTATGCATCCAACATTTTAGAAAAAAGTACAAAAATGACATTTTTCCGATAGTTTACATTATGTCTTTTTTTAAATACATGTTACTATAAATAGAAATGGAAACCTCTGCTTCTTATTCTGTTTTTGATATAATGCTTTCTTTTACTTGTTGGTCACTATATGCCAATAGCAGTTAAAAACAGATAGTCAGCAATTATTCATACAAAATATAAGAAAAGAATACAAAAAAATGACATTTTCCCGATATTTTGCAGTTCGTCTATTTCTAAACATGTGTTACTATAAATAGAAATGGAAACCACTGCTTCTCATTTTGTAATTGATATAAGACTTTCTTTTACTTGTTGGTCACCATATGCCAATGGCAGTTAAAAACAGATAGTCAGCAATTATTCATCCAAAATTTTAGAAAAAAGTACAAAAAACGACATTTTCCTGATATTTCGCATTACGTCTCTTTTTAAACATGTGTTACTATAAATAGAAATGGAAACCTCTGCTTATCATGCTGCATTCCATTGAATGTTCTTTTGTTCTTGTCAGTCACATAATATTAGTTACATTTAATGACAGTAAGTCGGTAAATTTCCCATCTCTAATTTGAGAATTGGTGGAAAATCGACATTAAACAGTTAATTTCATATGTGTCTATTTTTAGACATTTGTACTATTTATAGAGATGAGAGCCTCTCCTCAATAATTTGTGAGATATTATACTATTCCTTGTTCTTATTGATGAAATATTGGAGAGACCCATATTTTTATTTTTTATGATTCTGTGGAGCTTTAAAATGATGGAAAATTGACATTTTTCATCATTTTTGAGACATGTCTATATTTAGGCATTTGAAGCTATAAATAGAAAATGGAAATCCCTGAAAATAATATGCATGGTAGTTATTGGTGTCCAGTCTCTGACATTAGCATATTGACTTTTACAGTATATATCATAATTACCTAGCAATGGCATCTTAAACTCTGCCCAAATTTCATTTTTTGGATTTTTCTGAAATATGTCTATTTTTAGATACATGTTACTAAAAATAGCATTGAGATCCCACTCCAATTTTTTCATGAGGGGACACTACTAATACTGATGTTTGACGACACACATATGATTTGAAAAATTTCCGTAGACAATTTTTTTTATTTAACCTTAAATTTCTCAAAAAATGCCAAATTTTCCATTTTTCACATTTTGAGAAACTTTGCTATTTTGAAGAACCGTTTTCTAAGAGTGGGGTCAATTCTGGAATAACTGGTTATATGCCCTGTATTCTTTAACAGTTGATGTTTTCTTATGATACAAAGATTTATATTTGAGTTCACTACATAAAGATAAAAATGCATTCATATTTCCTAAATATTCATGTTTTTGTTTGGTCAAAAATGGCCGAAAATGGCCAAATTCAATGGATCCGTCTCCATGGCAACCGGGTGCACGTGGGAAACTTCTAACACCGTATTTGCTGGTTTTGTACTAAGGTGCACCTGTGGTGCAAATTTCATCAAAATCGGAGATATGTCGTTTCCAAGATTTTTTGGTGCTTACAGAGAATGCATGTTAACATCTAGTAGAGCTTCAGTTTTCCATTGATGAAACATTTTAAGTTTCTTGCAATGCAAGATGCGTGCATGCATACATAATGAAGGCCTTTTTTGTTACATCTACAAAAACTTCCTTCAAAACCTTACGTACGATATCAAGTCTTATGTGTAAATTTACAGTTAATTCAGTTGAGGAAGGCTTACTGATAAGTTAAAAAAACACGATTCACACGATGTGAAATACAGGGAGACGCTATCGTATCACCGATAATGTGTGTCTGATAACATAGACAGGAAGTTGTGTTTTTGTTCTGAAGGACAATCGAATTGAAAGTATGGGGACCTGATAAAAAAAACTAACGATGTAATGCTAATTAAAAAGATTGGACTATGGATATTCTGCTGTGTTTTCTAGGACTTCTGCTCAGTATAACGGATATCGGTAAGATGGGAGTAAGAATTAAACAAACAATTCATGTATAGACTAAAGCACCCCCATTTTGTCAAAGATATTAAATTCAAATACAAGCTCTTTTTTAGATGGTGGTACAGAATGTCCAGAAACATTGCATTTGCCAAGTCTCGCGATCGGTGGTACGAGATTTTCGGATTACGAAAAGATAGCGTCATTTCCGTGTGATGGACATTTGACTGGATGGCGGATAATTGGCGCCAAACCTGAATATAACATATACCTGGGAGTATGGATCCCAAATTATGGTTCTGAAAAACTTCTCACTCTTTTATACCGTGTAAACCAGGGAAGCGATGACAACATGGAACCTGTCATTATCGAAAAAGGAGATATCATAGGTCTTGTTTTGCTAAAGAATGACTCGCTCACTGTGCCTGATTTGAACATGTCGTCACAAAAAGAAAATACGATTGCTAACTTAAATTTCAAATACTCACATCTTGTAGTTGTGGTCCCACAGAATACTACAAGAGGAAGTGTCATTTCATTTAAGGAAATATCTTTCTTACTGATGCCCTTGAATTTCACAATTCATGTTACAATGGATTACAGTGGTAAGAATGCTTCCTAGAAATAGTCTTTCATTTTTTGTACATATTTTTATTGAAAGCTGTGCAAAACATTTATATGGCATATGTATATATTTTTTTCCTTAACAGAGTAACTTGTTGGCTTTATTGCTATTTGATGTTGCCAAGAAATACATTTTATATAAACTTGGATGACATCTAATATCTTATTTTTCGGCTTTAGGTACATATAAAGCCAAATGGGAAGCTTCTCGAAAAAAGAGCCGCAACAAGCGAGATAAATGGAGAAGTTGTACTAGTCACAATCTCCCAAATTGTAAAACGTGTGTAAAAGTCTGGGGCAAAATCAGTTGTAAATTTTGCAAAGATGGATTCTTCGGACCAACGTGCAAGAGACCTTGTCCCGAGGTTTGTTCTGCCTGCATTCAGGACAGTGGCAGTTGTGATCAGTGTGCCACGGGTTACTTCGGGGAAAACTGTAAGGAGGTGTGCCCCGTCAGATGTAGTCCCTCCCTGGGGTGTAACGCGGACAGCGGCTGTAGGGAATGCCAGCTAGGGTTTCAGGGAAAGTGGTGCGAGGAGTTCGTCTCTAGATGTGAAGAAGGGTATTTTCCTGGAGCTTACTGTTCAAACGAGTGTCCAGAAAATTGTGTATCCTGCAATATATCAGATAGTGAGTGCATCGTCTGCAAAAAAGAATCAGAATGGACACAGTGTATGAAAGCTGGTAAGGTTATTTCTGTTGAAAGAGAATAGAAAAGGTTTAAATAACAGGCTTGGGGTCAATTACTTTGAAATGTAATTACCGGGGTAATTACTTTCAAATACATTGATAATTTTGTCAATTACTTGCAATATCAATTACATTGATTTTTTCAAATGTAATTAATTACTTTCAATTACTTTGACAAATGTAATTAAACACATTTCAATAACTTCGAGTTTTATTTTTATAAAAAAAAATAAAGATTTTTTAAATAAGATTTTTTTTCTATATCGATCGAATTCGAACTTTCATTCAGTGTTTTTGTTCTTGGGTATGATAGGGGTTCACACCTGGTCAGAATTAGGCCTTTACTTTATATTGAGTGTGATACACTGTATAAACAAATTAAACATTATTATTGCACAAACACAAGCCCATGCTACACCAGTATGGTGTATGGCAAGATTTTTTTTGTTACTTTCTCAAATCCATATTTTTGAAGGAAATGAATAATACCTATCGCAATTCCATTTATTACTTTCTATCTTAAAATGAATAGAATACAGATAAATCAAAGGGGATGTAGTTAGTCTAATTACTGTAAAACAAATTAACTATCTAAACAATTATTGTTATTTGCAAGTGGGAATAGGGAGAACTGAGATTTATAAAAGATGGGAATAAGTAATATAAACCCACCAGTATAAAACTATGAATCAGTATAAGACACCTTTTTAAATA